TACAGATGCTCCGGGTAATCGTTATGATCGCCTTCGTATGTTTTGGAAATTGTTTGCAGAATCGACTGTAAGTAAAATTAATCATATTTGTCAGTGCGGTTTATGTTATAGATTTTCTTTGTGTAATTTTATTTTTATAAATATTCAATTTTTAGATGCAGCAGGGCAACAATATTACCAACCTTAATCCTGGAGCATTTGGTGCTCTAGTAACGAAATTAAATAGTTGTGTTGCACAGTTAGAACAATTTCCTGTTAAAGTACATGACTTGCCAGCAGGATCTGGTGCTGGTCGTGGAGGTACCAGTGCTCTTAAGTTCTTCAATACACATCAACTTAAGGTATGGTATATCTGTTCTTAAAATTTGTTTACAAATAATATTACTAATTTCTTATAATTTTATAGTGTAATCTCCAACGACATCCAGATTGTAACAATTTAAAACAATGGAAAGGAGGCACTGTTAAGATAGATCCTCTTGCATTAGTACAAGCAATTGAACGTTATTTAATGGTTCGTGGATATGGTAGAATACGAGAGGCGGAATCTCTGGTTAGCGACGATGATAATAGTGAAGACGATATAGACGATACTTTGGTAATATTTGTGTACATATACACAATATGTGTGTACTTTAAATACATAAGTAACTGCATTTTGAATGCATTCTAATTTATAGGCAGCGGTAGTTATAAGTCAAGGATCAGCAAAACATAAACTCCAATTCTTAATAGGAGATGAAGTGCTACCTTTTAATATGACTGTTTATCAAGCTGTTAGACAGTTTGGTTGTTCTGGAATAGATCATTCTGAAGCAGAAGCTGATGGTGAACCACCACTTGGCCATGATGCTGTATGGGTGCAAACTCACACAATTTATTACAGGTATTTTCTTTTTAATTTTCTTTTAACTAAAACAAAGATGATTAAGTAATACAATTTAAATAATTATGTTATAATTAGGCCTGTACCGGAAGAAGAGACTGCAACGTCGCCAAAACCAGGGTCAAGTTCACAGGGTAGTAGCCGCAAAGGCAAAGGAAAAAGTACAAAGATCAGTTCAAAACGAAAAGAGGATAGTTTATGGCTTGAAGGAACAGTCCCTCCACAACGATGTCCACTTGATCCTTACTTGTCACCCACCTTGCCATGTTCGGTTACCATTACTGATGCTTCTTTGGATGGTTTATGCCTATTACGTCTTTTACACGCACTAAATCGTCATTGGAGTGTACTATTTCCTCATTTGAAGAGTATAAGCTTACTTTCTCCACAAGATTTTATTAACAATAAAATAGCCGCAAAAGCGAGTCGACAGCTACAAGACCCTTTGGTGATCATGACTGGAAACTTACCTCTGTGGTTACAACAAATTGCTACAGTCTGGTAGGTATTGTAAAATTCACAGTAATTTATTAATATAAACTTCATTAAATGACTATATTTTGTAAATATCTACAGCCCATTCCTATTTCCATTTGAGACAAGACAACTATTACTTTATGCAACGTCATTTGATCGAGATAGAGCTTTACAACGTCTCTTAGACTCTGCACCAGAATTATCGGGATCAGATAGTCAAGAACGCGTCACTCCACGTTTAGAACGAAGGAAAAGAACTATCTCGAGAACTGATATTCTTAAACAAGCAGAACAAGTTATACAAGACTTAGCATCTAGCAAAGCCTTACTTGAAGTGCAATATGTCAATGAGGTTTATTTTTTACATTTTTTATATACTTTATTTTTATGCAATTTACAGTATTTCATAAACGTTGGTTTGTAGGTTGGCACTGGTCTAGGTCCAACATTGGAATTTTATGCTCTAGTCTCTCAGGAATTGCAACGTGCTGACCTTGATCTTTGGCATAGTAGCTCAAATCCTACTGATGCAGGATACGTCAATGCTCCACAAGGACTTTTCCCAATACCAATCCCTTGGAATACTAAAGTATCTCATCTTGCAAAACTCAAAACAAAATTTAAGTTCCTTGGAAAGTTTATGGCGAAAGCGATATATGATTCAAGAATGGTACTTATAACTTGTTACTTTGTTGATTGAATTAAAATATTTATAATGACATTCAAGCTATACTTACATGTATGTAATTTTTTCAGTTGGATTTACCATTCAGTTTAACTTTCTATCGGTGGCTATTGGGAGAAGAACATACACTAACATTAGGCGATTTAGCACATGTATGTCCTGATGTACATCGAACACTTAGTAGACTACAAGAAATTGTTAGGCAAAAAGAAGCAATCGAAAAAGATCAAATATTAAGACCACACGAAAAAATGCAACTAGTAGATTCGCTAAATTTAGACGGTTGTCCAATTTCGGATCTTGGCCTTGTTTTTGAATTACCAGGTTACGAGAACATCGAATTAAGGAAAGGTGGGAGCGATATACCTGTTACCATTTATAACTTGGATCAATACATCAAGGTATAAATTATTTGCTGTGACGACTGGAATAATACTGAATTGTTTTCTGTATCATTAACTTTATACTATTTAAAATTAATTTTCCAGTTGGTAGTACATTGGTTCTTGTACGAAGGCATCTTCAGACAAATGGAAGCATTTAGAGAAGGATTCGAGTCTGTATTCCCGCCATCGCAACTAAGACTATTCTTCCCTGAAGAACTCGAAGCTGTGTTTTGTGGACATGCACAAACAGGTGGACAGTGGGATGTGAAAACACTTTCAGAATGTTGTAGGACTGATCACGGTTACACTCCAGATTCTCGTGCTATTCGTTTTTTGTTTGAAGTAATGTCAAAATACAACAGTGAAGAGCAAAGGCAGTTCATTCAGTTCGTCACGGGTTCGCCGCGATTACCAGTTGGAGGTAAATGTTTAATATCTTATATTCCATATATTCATAGAATTGTGAAATATATATAAAATAAAATTTTATTTTGCAGGTTTTAAGAGTTTAACACCACCATTAACGATAGTGCGTAAAACATTTGACCCGTCTATGAAAACAGACGATTTCCTACCATCCGTAATGACCTGTGTTAATTACTTAAAACTCCCTGATTACACAACGTTAGAAATAATGCGGGAAAAGTTGCGAATAGCTGCACAAGAAGGACAACATTCATTCCACCTTTCCTAGAAACGGATGGAAAACCGGCGCGCCATTTGCTCTTTTGCTATCGCATTGTCCAGGTTGAAAAAAATTATTCAAACACCATTTAAAACATTTAAAAAAATAGCTGTGTTTTGTTCAAAACTCAGTAATCGTACATTTGCACTTTATACGAGCTTTTTTCGACGATACCTTTTTCTTGATTTTAGTAACAATTCATTTAAATAAATTCTAATTGGTTTGTTTATCTTTCTACTTATAAATTTGGATTGTGATATATTTTATCCAAAAAAAAAGTGCAAAGATGATATTAGCTCTACCGTATGAGTTTCCTCTTGTGGTATTATGAACCAGGTAGCGCGAGAGCAACCTTGTTCTAGGAAACTTATCTTTGATGTGTTACAATAATTAATAAAAGTTGTAAATATAGTTTAATATGCGCAAGTCTATATAAATACTTTATATAATAGTAACAAGAAAATGATATTGCTATGGAACTCTATACTAATTAAATATAATTTAGTCTGAGGGGACGTCTATTAGATATAAGTAAATTTTATATTAGTGGTGCATTTAGCATCGCCATAAATCGCCAATCTCATGCCTCACAATTTGCAATGAAATCACGAGTCAAGATCAGTAAAAAGAAATAAGCGCTAACGAAGTAGGTCATGTTTCATTACCATAAAAAAACAATAACTTCGAATATAATTGCGTGTTTACAACCATCGTTTTTATTTCGTAATCGATCTCTTGTGTTCGCTGCTTAATTTCCAGTGTGCGAGCACTGCGCGAATTGACGTGCAACACTCCTATATTTAAGTTTATTCGATGTATCACCAATTAAACTTATTTGATATTTTTATTCTAGGTAAGATAGTCCAATTAATACTTTACTTAGCTGTGTAATAATGCAGCCAGCATCGTCAGATCGAGTCACCGTAATGATACGTGAATCGAAGAAAATTCTTATATCCACTTATTTACAGGCAAAGTATCTATTTATGAAAAAATGTACGACAACTGTATAATACAAAATAGAATGGATATAAAGTCAGCGAAGCTGGTGTATCAAATGGATTATACAAGGTACATTACTTTCTTATATCTCTGTAGAAATGTGATTCTATACAAAAATTGTGAAAATATGAATTGATAAAAAGTAGAAGAAAAAAAAATAATACACTACTATTTGTTTTACATTTATATTGTGTACCATTGCTTGAAATGATGAATACATATATACATCACTTTTTGATTTTTAATTTTATATACATGGGAGTTAATCCGTAAATTAGCGATTACGTTAATTGATATTAAATAATCATGATTTTAAACTGATTTTTAAAATGAGATTAATAAGATTACTTTAAAGCTATGTTCCAACCTTGTATATTTTTTTAGTATTATATCATAAAGTTTGTTTAGTCACTACAAAATATTCTTACACTTCGTAATTTTACATATTTTACGATAAAACGTAAAACATGTTATACTTATATTTTTGCATTACATTTCTAATACGAGTAAGGACGAATTACAACTGGTAATGTATACACAATATAGAAAAACAAAAATCATTGATAGTGTGCAAGACGTGAAAACTTAGGAACACAACATACAATGTATAACGGTTTAGGATATGATCAAAACCTATATCAATAATATTATAAAAAAAAAGTTATATTTATATCAATTCATTAGTATAAACAAGTTTTACTTTTATTCAAATCATATTTTGTTTCTTTAACAGTTTTGAATAAATGAAAATACAAATGTGCTTGCCGGCGAAATATCTTTTTCTAATCAACAATATTTCGTAAGTGGCATGCATAATATTAAAAATGGTTTAAAATTATACGAAACTTATTTATTTTAAAGTTATAAAAGTTAATAGTTATTTTTGTACATACTGCAGTAATTACAAAATGCAACTTGGCTTCTAGGAGACCCGTTATTTTCGTCACGTATATCACATTCCCCTGTTTCTCAAAATTTTAAATACACATACTTAACCATCCCATTATGAAGCATACTCCACCTATTGGTGTTAGTTTGTTCCATTGGTTATCACCCGTAAATGCATAATAATAACAAGTTCCACAGAATAGTACTATTCCAGAAAGTAGGAATGCTCCAGACTAAATAATATAATAACAATAAGTATAATAATAAGTATAGCAAATATTAATATCTCATTAAAATTGAACATACCAAATAAGGTGTTCTACAAAGAGGTAATCCTAACATTGCTAACGTGTGGATGAAGTGATACCTGCTTGCAGTTTCAAATACTTGCTTTAGGTCTTGTTTGTTTTCCTCTGGATACTGTCCTAAAATCATAATAAATGAAAATTATTTTATACAAACATCTAGCTAATAAAATACAAAATTTGTTTCCTTGCAAATATAATTTAAGGAAAGTTTAAATAAAAAATAAATTTTTGTCAAATTATCTCAAATTTTTTTTTTTGTATGAATAGTAAAAATGTTTTGCAATATTTAAAAAATATTTTGCACATATATTATGTTGAACAGGTAAAAAAAATTCTTCTGATCTTACTATGAGAACCATAAGCACCAAGACTAACTGCTGTTGCACCACTTAAGGCAGCAATCTTAATAAATGGTCCTGAAGCTGCAGCTAATTTCCACAAGGGTACTGTCATTTTGGCTTCTGCTTTAGGTGCTAATATTAAATAATCCTTTGCCTACAAATAATTACAATTATCAAAGAAATAGTTATTTTTTTGTATAAATTAAAACATTTTGTTGGTATACATTAATAAATAAAGGTAAGTTTTTACCTAAATATTCACAAAATATTAAAATACACAATAAAGTTT